TAAAACGCGCAACACAAGCAATTTAGTGCGTTTATCATGTGTTTGTCGGCCTGTTTCTATTCAAAAATTATGTTTTATTATCATTATTAATATTTATTAAAGGAGAACTATGGCCCAACTTTTTTTGTTCTCTTCAGGGTCACCAAAGGACATATACTGATGTCCACCGGCAACCCAAAACTCAGTATGTAGCATGCTATAGCCTGCTATATGCTGAGCGTGCAAAGCCACGCTGCGGCCGGAATGGATATTGACAATACTGTTGAGATCCACCCCACTGGCTGATTGACAGCGAGCTCTGCCTATCTAGAAATCGGCGCTGACTTCCCGATCAATAGAGCTGACCTGTGATAGCTTCGGTGTCACAAGTCGGCTTGAATTATGGGGATGAGTGTTTTTCACTTTGCCGTAATTCTACTTTAATGTACTTATTTATTTCTATTCTATTTTCTATTTTTTACTTATTAATTATTATTATTATTATTAATACTTTTTATCATTTATTTTATTATTTTGTTTTTATTCTATTTCTATTCTCTGTTTTGTTCACTTATTATTTATTATTTAGTATTGATATTTACTATTAATTCTGTTTTCTATTATATTTTTTTTTATTTCTTCTGCAAAAAAAACATGGCATAGCGGACATGGCCCAAGAGGTCTGACCGCACAAGACACCACAACACCACACAGAAAAATCAGGGACCGCAAGATAGCGCTTTCCGCTGGCCAAAACAAACCTGCCAAAAAATAAAAAAAAGGAAAAAGCTTTTAAAACGCATGTTAGTGTGCAAAGAAACAGGAATAAACTAGGGCTGCGGAAATCAATGATTATTACCCGATTAATCGTTAATATTTTTGATCGCTTAAAATTATTTTGATCAATAATGAAAACACTCACCTCTCCGCCGGCTTCCGGGTCTTCCTGGAGTCCCGTCGGAGATCCGGTGATGGACATCGATGTCACCGGACTCCTCCCCCCCCTTCCCCAAGTGGCTCTGTCAGCTAACGAAGGGAAGGGGGAGGAGTCCGGTGACGTCGATGTCCATGACGTCATCGGACTCCTCCCCCCTTCCCTTCGTTAGCCGACGGAGCCACTTGGGCCGGTGTTCTATCGATAGTCCCAACTTATCGAGTTCTGTGACTGCCTGACTTCCGGTTTCCTTAGAACTATGATGTTTGGTCAAGAAAGTTCTTCTGCACGAGCGCCATCCGCGGCATTGCCCTATACACATACAGCACAGCAATAAAGTACTAAAATGAACTCGGATCACACTAATCCAGCACGTTGTTAATCTCACGTGCCCCACTCAATATGGCCGCCGCTTGAGTGGGGCAACTCAGAATAATAGCAGATTAGCTGGATTAGTGTGATCCTAGTTCATTTTAGTACTTCATTGCTGTGCTGTATGTGTATAGGCCAATGTAGTTGGATCTGTATGTGCGTTATAATCAATCGATTAATACAAATTTTGATTAATCGAACACAAAAATTTCAATCAGTAACAAAACTAGAATAAACGCATCCCGAAAAATTGCTTAAAAGTGTTGCTGGGGCAAAAATGCAGATTTATAGAAGTTGATTTATGAAAGTTCTGTTCACATGGCACTCCTGCCCCTAGATGGCGCTGACCAGTACAGTATTTCCTATACTCATGAGCGCCATCTAGGGGCACAAGTGCCCTGTGAACGGCATCTGCCCATGCAGAACTTTTATAAATGGACCCCTTAGCCCTCATTCACACGGAAATCGGCCGGCACATACAGCTCCCTGCTGCGTGCACGGCCGTATTGGGCAGCTCCCGGGAAGGACAGGTGATACGTGTGACTAGTACGCAACTACTGTCATTCTCTATGGGAATATGTGGCCTTACACCGCCCTACGCACCAGATACGCTCACCCGCATGGACGTAGGGCGGCGTAGTCCCATAGACAAGGACAGAGGCTGCGTACTAATCACCTAATCACCTAATCACACGCAGAACCTGTCCTTCGCGGGAGCTGCCCGATACGGCCGTGCACTCAGCACGGAGCTGTATGTGCCGGCCATTTCTAGTGTGAATGAGGGCTAAGAGTGAGGAGGAGGCCCTGTCAATCAGCTAGTGGGCGGAGTTGGGAACCTTGGTGTGGACTTCTGGCAGAGAGAGAGTGCCTGAGAGGTATAGGCAATGGACTGATGTAACTGAAGACTAAGGTATCAGTTCTGGCTGCGCTGCCGTCATTCTTCTGCCCGCAGAGGATAATCTTCAGCATGACTCCTAATTCTCAGAGAGGAAACTAGAAGTGACTCAGGATAATGACATTACAGGGAAAATACACCATGTCCTCTAATAATATCTACAGATGACAAAGGACCCGTTCCCCACCCCGCACCCCCGCCCCTGCATTCGTGAAGTCCTGGCATTTCCTGTTTATAACATATTTTGCTGGGTTAATGACCCAAATAAATCCTTCACAAATTAGTTTGGAGGAAAGAACAACATTAAAAGCCGCCAGGAATCCACGCTTGCTTTTTATATGATCTCCTTAAAGGCGTAGTCCACCAAAAATAAAATGAATGCACCCATGCTGATAAAGAAAAAAGTGCATGGATTCTATTTTTGTCATGTGATACAGTTCTGTCTGGCAGGGCGGGAGACCTGATTTTTTTTCCGGCTGCAGTAAAGTAACACTTACAGGTCTTGTCCCTCCCCCAGCTCTGAGTCTGCAGGGCTGCTGATATTACATCCAAGATGGCGGCACCCAACAGCAGTCTCAGGGCTTTTGGACTTTTACAGGTAAATATAACATATAACATTTGTCAAATGCTCATATAACCCA